GGGCGGATAGGGAGGTTGTGGCCCCGCCCCCTGTCACTCACAGAGCCACAGGGCGATCAGGGGATTGGGGAGCTCCCCCCTATCAGGCACAGAGCAGGGCCCGTGGTGGGGGGGTGGTTGGGGCGCCGCACCCTGTCACACACAGAGCCCCAGGGCAGTTAGGAGATTGGGGAGCTCCCCCCTATCAGGCACAGAGGAGGGCTGATCAGGGGGTTGGGGTGCCTTCCCCTGTCACGAACAGAGTAGGGCGGATAGGGAGGTTGTGGCCCCGCCCCCTGTCACTCACAGAGCCACAGGGCGATCCGGGGGTTTGGGCGCTGCCCCCTGTCATGCTGATCCCGGTGCCGGGAGCCTCGCTGCTCCGCTGATCCCGGTGCTGGGAGGCATATTACCCTTTTACTATATAGGATAGAGGCCTGGTGCATGGGTAGGGGCTGGCTGGTTTGCCCTGAAGGGTGTCCTGGATCAGGGTGGGGGTCCCCACTGGGGTGCCTGGCCAGTCTGGGTGAGGGGCTGAGGGCTGTTTTCCGGCTGGCGAGTGACTAAAGCTTCCAACCGCTCCTTGTTTTCTTTTCTTTTTTTTTTTTTATTCTGGGGCAGCTTTAGCTCTGAGGCCTCGCTGCTGAAAACATAGATACAATGTTGCGGTCCGAGCCCGGCTGAATGGAAGCCCTTTTCTGGGGTTTTGTTTAGCTTCTTATTTGCAACATAGTATATAGTTGCTTAGAGTTGCAGCTGAGAGGCTGGCAAGTGAGGCTGTGAACGTTGGAGTCTGCAGCAAGCAAGCCTCCCTGCTCGCTTCAGTGCCTGGCTGCCGGCCGCCATCTTGGCTGACAGTTAATTTGCATATACTCACTGATTAGCCAATGACAAGGGTAGCGGTCGTACGCCAATTACCATGTTTCTCTTTTATTAGTGTAGATAAGTACTTATTTATTGCCACTTTAATTCTGTATGCATGGGTTTCTGTCTCTATTTCTTCTCATTACAGCAGTCCCATTAGCATTTCTTGTAATGCTGGCTTGGTTGTGATGTACTCCTATAGCCTTTTTTTTTTGGTCCGGGAAGCTCTTAATTTCACTATTTTGAATGATAGCCTTGCTGGATATAGTAATCTTGGTCTCAGATCCTTGCTTTGCATTACCTTGAGTACTTCATGCCATTCTCTTCTGGCCTGTAGAGTTTCTGATGAGAAATCAGGTATCAGCCTTATTGGAGCTCCTTTGTAGGTAATTTGCTTTTCCTTCTGGCCTGTAGAGTTTCTGATGAGAAATCAGGTATCAGCCTTATTGGAGCTCCTTTGTAGGTAACAGTTTGCTTTTCTCTTGATGCCTTTAAGATTCTTCGTCTTTAATTTTTGGCATTTTAATTATGATATGTGTGGGTGTGGGCCTGCTTAGGTTCTTCTTGCTTGGAACTCTCTGTGACTCCTGAACTTGTGTGATAGCAAATGTCTGCATGAGAAAGATGACCTCTGCAGCATGAGGGAATGACTCAGCACAGGATACTGGGGTGTCTGCTTTCTCAGCTCTAACCCTTGAGCACCCCATTCTGGCTTCTTCTCACACATCTTCAGAACTCCCCACAGTTGAGATATCTCTCTGGAATTTCAGTTCTGTCTGTGGAACCCAGCCATCCCTTTCACACCTCCACCCCTCCTACCAGTCTCTATGCTGTCTCCACTTTCTGTTTTCGGTTATCAGGGTTCTTTCTAGCAAGTCTTCCATTGATTATTCAGAAACTTTTTCTGTATTTTGGTTGTAATTGCAGTTTGGCCCTGGGAGCATGTCTTGAAGCACATCACTCTACCCCTATTTTTAAACCCCCTCTCTCCTGGAGTTTTGCACTCAGTCTTGTCCACACTGAGCCTCCAGCATTTATCAGTTATAGTTCAGGGTTTCCTGCCCCAGCACTGGTTCCCCAGGACCCTGTACCTTCGAGGGCATCTTAATCCACCCACCCACCAATCCCCCATATTGCTCCTACCTTGTCAGGGCCATGTCCCACATGGATAAGATCAATGGAAAGAAAGGCATTGTGTGAGTTCAGCAAGCAGCTCCCACCTCTGGTAGGAATCTAGTTTACTCTGAGATGGTCCTTGAATAGGTGGGTTTGCACCTGTAGACTCTGGTATGTATGTGCACCCTGAGCAGCTTTGGCCTGTTCTGGCCATATCTCACAACCTGGGACCCTTTTCCTTCTCACCACTGTCCACCCTGCATGCTCGCTCTCCTGAGCAGTCAGGACCTAGCGTGTAGAGAGGACAGAAACTGCCAGAGACTCAAGCACGGACCCTGGGCGGGTGCAACTGTCTATCCCCTCACCTATAAGAGGAGTAAACAGACCTTCTTACTGGGGACCCTCTGAGCATTGGAGCAGACATGAACATCTGATTTTCAGAGGAAGCACTTACTGGGTACTAGGAATGGGCCCTGTCTGACCCGCTCCCATCATCCTCTTTTCTAATCTTCACTCCCTAGTGGAGGGTCTCAATGTTGTCCCACATTCAGAACCAAACCACCCTCTGGAGCAGCGGTGGCCAACCGGTGGGCCGTGAGGTCCGAAAGGTTGGTGACCGCTGCTCTGGCACATCACTTCCATTGGAAAATGCAGCCCAAGGCCCAAGCTACTGTATCCCAGGGACCTCATGAGGCTGTGCTTTGTGTTTGTCCTCACCCCCATGGTGCAGGAGCCCAGCAATGGCTGCTCCCCCTTTTCCAGGGCATCTGCCCCAGAGCCTCTGGACATGGGCTGGCCTCATTAACTTCCCAGCAGCAGCTGCATGTGCCGAACATGGAACAAAAAGAGCGCTGAGGCAGTGGGGCAGTTGAGAGTATGTAAAGGAGGAGACCCCCACAAGACAGCAGCCTCAAGCCATTGGTGCACATCCAGGGACACCCACCAGGCCCAAACCCTCCTTTGCATCCAGCTGGGCTTCTGCAAACATACCATGGGCGAGAGCCCTGTACTCATCTAGGAAACATGACCCTGCTTGAGCAGAAAGGACACTTCCCTCCCCAGGATTTTACCAGGTCAGGGAAGTTTTCTGCCATTATTTCTTCAAACATGTTCTCTGTCCCTTTCTCCCTTTCTGCCTCTTCGGGCAAACCTGCTATTCGAATTTCACATTGTTCTACAGCTCCCTTAAGCTCTCCTCCTGTTTTTTGTTTTTTCTTTATGGTTCTCTGATTTTTTTCAATCCTGTCTTCTAATTCACTGATTTGATCCTCATCTTCCCTTAGTCTATTGTGTATTCCTTCCAATGTGTTCTTTATTTGTGCTATGTCGTTCTTTATTTGTTTTCATAGTTAATAAATTTTTTTCTCATGCTGTTGAGCATCTTTACCACCCATTACTCTAAACTCTATATCAGATATATTTCTTATCTCCATTTCATTTAGCTCTTCTTCTGGAGAATTATCTTGTTCTTTCATTTGCGGGTTCTCTGTCTCCTCCTTTTGGCTGCCTGTTGGGTTTGTGACTATGTATTTTACATAGACCTCCTTCTCCTCTCAATATCTAGTGCAGGACAGTGTAAAACAATGTTTCTGACTAATTAGATCAGGCAAAGCTTCAAAGCCTCCAGAGACCACCTCTGCCTGCAGACTGATAGGAAGGGGCAGAGGTGGGGATAAGAGATGGTGAATAAAATTCAAGGGCCCTGAGGAGCAGGTGCTGCTTAAGACTCAATGGGAGACTGTGCTGGAGGATCCTGTGGTACTGGTACCTTAGGGCAGCAGCTGTGTGTGATAGGATGGCAGCCACAGCTTCAGGATGTGTGCCCACATCCACAGGAGCCCTGGATGTGCAGTCAGGGCCATGGAGCACAGCCTTGAGCCGGTCTTGCTCCTAGGTCCTGGCCCTGTAGCCCAGGTCTCTCTGTCCGGGCTCAATGGCCTTCACTCTAGAAACTATACATGGCCCTCTATGGCTCTCCCAGCAGCAAGCAGCTTCTGGTGCCTGAGAACGGATGTTTTCCCCGCTCTGCCTCACAGACCTGCTTCTCACTGAGGAAGCTGAGGGGAGGATAAGACCAAATGACCCTCTGGGAAGCAGGACCACCCTTGCCTTCTGATGAGTTGGAGGACCAGCCCTGTGGCTTTTCACTTTCAAAATGAATCAGGGAAAATTGCCTCCTCGACAAGTCCATTGCTATCCCACGTTTCCAGAAGGGTGCCAAAAGCTGGAAATACCATGTGGATATGTGGAGATCAGTTGCAATGTGAAACCTAACTACAATTTGGGTGTCTTTCAAGTTTTAATAAAACCTACAGCTAATAATTAAACTGGCAGCACTGAAAGGGTAGGGGGCTCCTTCCAGGTGAGGCTGTGGGGCCTTGGAGGGGCCTCCTTGTAAAGTGGTCTCACGCCAGGGTAAATGCCTCAACCAATACAGCTGCCTCCTTCCTGGAGGGCATTTCACCCAACCCCAAACCAAATCAAGCCCCCACCCTGATTGCATACAGTTGAGTTTTCTGTGGTTTTGGAAATATCTCAAGGACTGATGGGTTTTTGTTTTTTCTTCTCTCCTAAAATTTCTGTGTGCTGATTTGGGGCATCCAGGGAAGATCACTTGTGAAAACCAGCACGGGCCTTTCCTCATCTTGCCCCCTCCCCCCCCCCGCCCCTTTCCACTGTGCCCCTATTCCAAGCTCTGCTTTCGCAGGAATAGGACCAAATGTCTGCAAAGCTCTGGACAGCGGAGCACAGACGGAAAATGAGGTGGTGAAGGTCTCCGGCTGTAAACCTGGACTGGCATTGGCAGCAGTGTCATGATGAGGGCTGAGGCCACTCTTCAGTTGGGGGCTAAGAAGGGCAGTGAGTCACCCTCCAGCACAGACATTGCTGAACTGTGGCTGTAGCCTTGGAGGCCATACCTGCTGGGCAGGTGAGCAAGCACAGCAGCCTGCTCCCCTGCGGCCTGCATGCGAAGGACCTACTTGAATTTTTACTGGTTGAAAGAAAATCAAAACAAGAATACCATTTTGTGACGCATGGAATTCCAATTTCACAGGTAGTTTTATTGGAACCAGCATACCCATTGCTCACAAGTCCAGGCCATCTTCACATAAACAGCAGACCTAAGATGTCGTGACAGACACCAATATGGCTCAAAAGATGAAGTTACTCCCTGTACTTTTACAGTAAGTCTGCTGACCCCTGCCCTAAGCTAACAAAAGAATCAGCCCCCTCTTTTATTGATTTTTAGAGAGAGAAGAAGGGAGAGGGATAGAGAGAAACATTGATGAGGAAAAACATCATCGACTAGCTTCCTCCTGGACATCCCTGAGCCCACAATCCAGGCATGTTCCCTGACCAGAAATCAAACTGTGACCTCTTGGTTCATGGGTTGATGCTGAATCACTGAGCCACACCAGTAGGGCGGAATCAGCCTTTTCTGATGAAATGTCAGAGCTGTTTCATTTAGTTGCATTCGAAGGACTTACACTGTGTCTACCTTCATATAGAGAGTAACTAAGCTCACATTAAGTTTTAGGAACTGCAAACATCTTACAGGGTTATAACAAACTGACAAAAATACTGACAGGGTAAAGAGCAGACAGATTTTGGTGCAGGAATGATGCATGTGGAGAGATCAACCCCACACACAGGCCCAACATCAGTGTCAGAAGGTAAGCTCCAACTCAGGAGAGGGAAAGCAGGACCGGAGACAACATGCTCTATGCCAACTAATGATGATGACAATGGCTCTAGAGGGTCTAATAACCTGATCCACTTGGTGGGAGCCATCAGGGCACGTGCTATCTGGATGCAAGAGATCACTAGCCTGCCTGCTGAACTCCTTTCTCCGGTCTAGCATCTGAGTATCATAAGGTCCACTCCCCTCATGTTTCTCCCTAGGGTGAAAGTGTAAGGTGAAGACAGTGCACCAGGTGAGGGGGACAGTGAAGATGAAGACAGAGAACTGGCAGTGGGAGCACTGGAGGATGAAGTTGCATCGCCCTGGATGTGCTAGTCTAAGGAATTGGTATTTGTGCTCCTAGTGTGGAGGGGCCAGGAAAGGTGGAGTTAGTGCACCTGGGGTGGGAAGCAGTGGGAGGTAGAAGTGAGCACCTGGGGGAGCAGGGGCTGTGGGAGTTCTTAGTGTCAGGGTTTTTGGCACTTTTGCCTCAGCCTGGCTATTGTTAGTGGGTTTAAACAGATAGGTTTCTGTGTTTTGGGCTCGAGTCATCAACTCAGATGGATTTTCTGCTACTGGAAGCTTCTAAGTGCCTCAGGAGGAAGCGTAGCCCTGCAACACCCTGACCTTGGACTTCTGGCCTCCAAACCTGGAGAGCACACTCCTGTTGTCGTATACTCTGTGTGGAATTCCTAAGGTCAGCTCAGAAATCTAGCACTGCCCAGGGCAGTTCCCTGAACCCACCTAGGACTCCAAACACAGCAGCACAGGGCCTGAAGGCGCTGTTCCAGGAACTGTAGACACTCCTCAAGATCCAAGGAGCCTCTCTGTGTACAGCCTCCCAGGATGCTATTTCAAAGCGGTCTGGGAGATGCACGCTCCTCCACTTTCCCCTCATCCCCCAAGGGGCCCTCTCATAGACACCAAACCAAGCAAAAAGCAGCATCAGTGTGTATCTTCACAAAAAATCCTAACACTACCATTTCTCTTTTGTTTCTGGACAGAAATGGGGCAGTAAAAGCAAAAATCAAAACCTTTTAAATAGGTGCAATATATACTATTTTCACCTTTGGCTAAAAACTGAGCAATGAAATAGTATTTCAGGTGTTTACTAGTATATGATGACCTCAAGGTATGCTAGACTCTTAGCTTTAGTTAGAAAATGACAATACAACCAAAAAGAAACTGGCCTTCCCACCAGAGAGATGGAACAAGTGAGGGCGGTGGGTTGCTTAGCGGCCCACAGAGGGGAGCAGGCTCAGGCATGTGGTCCTGGAGAAGGGACTGTGCCGATACAAGGTACACCTGCAGTGCTTAGACCCACAGTTAAAAAAAAGCAGATTTTATTCACAGAGGCTTAAACCTTCCTTTTACGCCCAACAAGAGTGGAGAAAGGATGATAATGCAGCTACTGGTGATGCTGGAGACCTGGGATAAGGCCATGCAAAGTGGTCCCTCAGTGCTGGGTGCAGACCAGCATCTGAATGAAGAGCCACCACGCAGCTGTGCAGGGCTCACCAGGGCTCAGCCACGTGCTTGAGTGCATGGGTGCTCCTGACGGCACCAGCAGCTCAAGAGGGCCTTGGCGGGATACCGTTTGCTGTGTCCACAGGCAGAACTCCTCTCCTGCAGCTGCACCTTCAGGGCCCTGCAGAGGACCCCTCCGTGGCTGCCCAGGTCCTTCACAGCAGCCTTTGTCCTGAGGCAAGTATGCCTCTGAGGCAGGACCGCAAGTTTTTCTCTGGCCCTGAGAATGACCTCCTGTGGTCATCTGAAGGCAGCATGCAGGGGTTGAGGACAACATACTGAGATGCGATTCTCATCAAAAGCTCTCACCTCTACCCTCTCTTGTCCTTCTAGGTCAGTTTTTTCACTCGTCGATTGTGCTTGTCAATGGTTAAGGTTGCCCGGTCCACAGCAGTGGTGATGCCATCCAATGCCTCATCCTGTCTCTCCAACTCCGCCTCAGCATCCAAGGCAAGACCCTTCAGCTTCCCAAGGATCTGGAGAGAAGCACAAAGACAGGAGGGGCTTACTTTCCTTAAACTCTCAAAATAGACTTCTTTCCACCATTTCTACAATGCTTAAGGAATTTTGTAAGTCCGTGGTGATAACACACCCTCTGTCCCACGGTGGAGCCGAGCTACAGCTTGGGTTTGGGTCTCAGCTCGGCTCTGCCACTGACTGGAGAGCTGTTGGAAGATGATGCATTTGCCCCTGGCCTTGCTCCAGACATGGGCAGCACTCTGACCTCGAGTCCCTGGGGCATTACTGTTCCAGCCCGCAGTATGCTGCATCACCAATGCCTTACCACATCCATGAGGAATTCCAGCGGTAGTAGAGGGGTGACAGACACAGGAGAACCAGAGAGCTGGGGCCAACAACTAGGATCCAAGTTCCAGCTCCTGCCCAATCACTATGTTCATTACCTGTCTGCACCCAATTACCTAACTGAACACTGAAGCTCAAAAAACAATATGTAAAAAGAAAAGCAAAATCCTTTTCTTGTCTGTGTGTTTGAAATATTTCACATACAAATACAAAAGGCAGAATAGAATACAGCACTAATAACTCAAATCACACAGCACAGGCCACT